CAGAGTCAGTCACCTGCCCCCTCCCCTCTTCGGGGTCTGAGCCTGCAAAGGGGAGCCCCCTTAACTCCAAACCCCTTGGCCCCAGCTCCCTCTGGCACCCCAAAAGTCTCATCAATACCCCACCCCAGGGCCTGCAGCCCCTGTCAGAGCCCTCACCCCCTTCACTTCAACCCCTGCCTCAATCCACAGCCACCTCCCACATTCTGAACCCCCATTTTGGCCCCACTCCAGAGCTTAGGGGGCTCCATAAAATCTAATAGCCCTGGGCTCCCAGAAGAGTTAATCCAGCCCTGGGTACCATGTATACCGTATTTTCTGGCATATAAGGCGACTGGGCATATAAGACAACCCCTTAATTTTCCAGTTAAAACATAGGTTTTGGCCTATACTCGCCGTATAAGACTACCCCCCCTTCCGAGGCAACACCATTTAATAACACCAGCCCGCTGGATGTGCCCTAATACAGTACTGTAGCTTCGGCTACATACAGTATCAGCACAGGGACGTTCTGTATGTACCGCGCTGAGCCAATCACGGCAAGCGGTGTCATCTATTAATGCATACAAACGGTTGTAATAGCCCGCCTCTCTGTCTCAGCCAATCCAAGCAGGCTTTGTATGCATTAATAGAATACACCGCTTGCCGGGATTGGCTCAGCGCGGTACATACAGTATCAGCACAGGGACGTTCTGTATGTAGCCGAAGCTATAATATGTTTATTCCCGGCGTATAAGACGACCCCCGATTTTTGGGGGATGTTTTTTAGTATAAAAAGTCATCTTATATGCCGGAAAATACGGTATTTATAATATTCCAGGTCTGAATTCTTCTGTTGGAGAAGTAGTTTGGAAAGGATTTTCTTTCATTCTGTTTGTATTATATTGAAAGTAGTTTGCTCATATTCCACCACTTTTTATATCATTAAGGGTATGTCTACACTACCACCCTAGTTCGAACTAGGGTGGTTAATGTAGGCAACCGAAGTTGCAAATGAAGCCCGGGATTTGAATTTCCCGGGCTTCATTTGCATCTTGCCGGACGCCGCCATTTTTAAATGTCCACTTGTTCGGACTCCGTGCCCGCAGTTACACGCGGCACGGACTAGGTAGTTCGGATTAGGCTTCCTATTCCGAACTATCGGTACACCTCATACTACCTAGTCCGTGCCGCATGTAGGTGCGGGCACGGAGTCCGAACTAGCGGACATTTAAAAATGGCAGCGCCCGGCAAGATGCAAATGAAGCCCGGGAAATTCAAATCCCGGGCTTCATTTGCAACTTCAGTTGCCTACATTAGCCATCCTAGTTCGAACTATGGTGGTAGTGTAGATATACCCTAAGTTACACAACAACAACTTTTTTGGTATCTACTATTATGCAAGAGTTAATATAAGTTCAAATTTAAAGGAGAGTATATAACATTTTACTTACTATTTCTGGAATATAGTACCATGTGGGGCTCACCTACATCTGATGTAAATCAATGTACCTCCATTTACCCAATGAGACTTACAGCAGATGAGGACAGGAATGTTGTAATATCAAATGTGGACAAGTTTCAGCCCTCAGTTATACATCTATTTCTTATTAACTTCCACGGGGATGTAACATTGTAGAATTTTGTTGATATATGTAAAAAAAAGGTATTGTTTCTTTTCTATATGCAGAGTGTATTAACTAATGATTGATTTACTGTTCAGTGGCTGCAACATAAAGCAGAATTTAGTCTGCATTTAAAAAACCCCCGAAGAACAGTAATAGCCCTATACCTTCTTTTCCAGAAAATTGTGAAAATTGTATAGAATGTATTTATTTCAATCCCAAACCTTTCTTGACTTACCAGTTATGGAGTAGACTACTTAAACTATCTATACTCAGTGCACAGAAATTACATCCAATACTGTAATTATGTTTTATTAGCTGCTTTATGGTGACTATTAATAACTACTATAAGACATGTGAATTTGCTGATTCTGTTATTTTAGTAAAAGGTACTATGTAAAATGTGAAAGCTTTATGTTCTCATCTCTGTACTTTCCAGCAATCCATCATTAAAGAATCTCTTAATCATTTTCACAGTAAGGCTCCAACCCTCCTCAATCACAGGTGGCATATTATTAAATGTCCACTTATAAAGATGATGTTTAACTGCTATACTTTTTGATTTAATGAACCATCCATACCATACCTCCTTCAATTGAAATATAAAGAAATGAAGTAGTTTGATTCTATGAATACAGCTAAATAGTTAATTTATTGAAAATGTTTTGCCCACAGTTGTACCCCAAAAGGAAAATGAAAGAAGTTAAGATCTTTTAGTCAAAAATTAGAGATGGGTTTAAGACAGAACCAATCAAGTATTTCCATTCTATCATAAAATATGAGAGATGTTTCCCCATTAATTTTCTTTTTTCCATTCGTAAAAAGGATGGACAGACTCTTTGAAAACAAGGATCCAAATTCCCCTCTTGAGTGGTGTTATACAAGTATAAATAATGGTGGAATTTTGCTAATGTGGATAAAATCTTACCTATCAGAGAGATTTCTGGGACATGTATTAATAGCAATACTCTTTTATCAGGAGTGTAATATGCAGAACCTGGACAATAATTGTCCCATCCTAACTAACACTGTGAAATCCCAGTTGGAAAAGTGACTTCAATAGTGGGTGCCAAAATTTAGGAAAGATGTGAATGACCTGGAGACAGTCCTCATAAGAGTAACAAAAATAACAGGTTTAGAAAACCTGACATGAGAAAAGGCTAACAAAACTGTAGTCTTGAGAAAAGAAGACTGAGGGGAAACCCTGTAACAGTCTTCAAGTGTAGTACTGGCTTTTATAAAGAAGATATGTCCACCGATGATAGGACAAGAAGCAATGAGCTTAAACTGCAGCAAGGAAGGTTTAGGTTGGACATTAGGAAAAACTTCCTAACTGTCAGGGTGGTTAAACACTGGTATACGTTGCCTCGGGAGGTTGTGGAATCTCTATCACTGGAGATATTTAAAAGCAGGTTAGATAGACATCTATCAGGGATGATATAGACCGTGGTTGGTCCTGCTATGAGGGCAGGGGAATGGACTTGATGATTTCTTGAGGTCCCTTCCAGTTCTAGTGTTCTATTACTTCATTTTTCAGAGTCCTGTGCTCAACACTTGCTGAAAATCAGACTGCTTAAGGTGCCTCTAGTTGTGTAAACAAAATGGAGTCAAGCCAAATTACTAGTTAACCTTTGAAAATTGAGGCCAGGGTGACTGCATAATGCAATATCAACTATAGGGTGCAATTTGGGTTAGAATTTGCCTGATATGGATAAACCATGCCTAACCAGAGAAATTAATATACAGGCAGTTCCCGGGTTACGTACAAGATAGGGACTGTAGGTTTGTTCTTAAGTTGAATTTGTATGTAAGTCGGAACTGGTACATATTGTAGGGGA